TCCCTGCACACCCGAGATCCCCTTCCCAAACACCCGAGATCCCCTTCTAAACACCCGAGATCCCCTTCCTAAACACCCGAGATCCCTTCCCAAACACCCGAGATCCCCTCCTAAACACCCGAGATCCCCCACAGACCTGGGGCCCCTTCCCGAGCTCCGGGTACCTTTCCGGACCCCTTCTCGACCCCGCCATCCCCTCCCCGACACCGGCATCCCCTTCCCGAGCTCCGGGCACCTTCCCCGGTACCTTCCCGACCCCTCCCCGACACCGCCATCCCCTTCCCAAACTCCCGGGTACCTTCCCCGACCCCTTCTCGATAGGGGCATCCCTTCCCCGAGCTCCCGGCACCTTTCCCGGCCCCGCCATCCCCTCCCCGAGCTCCGGGCTCCCCTGGGGCACTCCCGCGTTCCTCCCCATCTGTTTGGCCAAACTCCACGCTCACCTGGCTCCCCACCCGCCCGGCCGCGCTCTCCACCCCGGATGTCAGCGCTGCTGCCCACACACCTGGATTCCTCCCTGTCCCAAACACCCGCGGCCCCTCCCGGGCGTTTCTGTCCCCTTGAGGAGCATTTGGGGCTCCCCCAAATGTCTGTGTCCCCTTCCCAAATGCCTGGGCCCCCTCCCCATTATAGGGCTCCAAGCCCGCAGGTTTGGGAGGGTCCCTGCACGGGTGAGGGGGCGGAGGGGTGGCCCTGCTGAACCCCTGTGTCCCCCCTTGGTGACAGCGGTGGCCTCGGGGCAGCTGCAGCAGCTGGAGCAGGAGAGCCTRGACCTGCGGCCCCCCCACATCAAACAAGGTGAGGGGAGATTTGGGGACAGCCAGGGGTGGGGTGGACACGGGGGGACATTGGGGACATTGGGGACAGGCTTTGTTCAAGGGTGGGGATGTGGATGGAGGGGACACAGGGTGGGAGTGACACGGGGACAGTCAGGTTGGGGACAGAGGGGGACATGGACACAGGGACCAAACAGGGACGAGTGCGGGGAGGACACCCCTCACCCCGTGCCCACCGCCCCTTTTTCAGTGCTGCAGCAGGAGCAGGAGCTGGAGGTGCCCCCCGACATCCTGCTGGGGGTGGGGGGAGCCATGGCGTCCCCGCGGAGCCCCCCGCTCTGGGGCAGCGCCCTGGCCGGCTTCCCCCCGGCCTGGCCCGTGGCCGCCGCGGTCACTCGGCACTGCCGGGACCCCCCAACGCTGCCGCCGCCGCTGCTGCT